GGGGGAGAGAACAACTTGATCTTAGGTAAAAGAAAAAAAAACAATGATAAATATTTATCCATATCAACACATTTTGTATGAGTAACCCCCTGCTGTGCTGACCACAGACTCACACACACACGTACACATAGTAACAGATACCCACAAACACAAACACACATAGTAATAGACACGTACACATACAAACACACATACACTCACACACGCACACACACACACACACACATACACATAGTAACAGATACCTACAAACACAAACACATATTATAGTAATAGACACATACACTTACAAACACACATACACTCACACACACACACAAACACACCTCTTTTTGCTTGAGCGCTTCAAAAAGTGCCGCGTGGAGAGGTTCTAACTGGCACAACAAGGAGTAAACTTTTTTAAAAAGATTTTTTGCTCTCTTTTTTTTAACGCACGGACCCAGGTTAAAATCGGCAACTACGAGAAAGAGGGGAAAGTGCAGGTGGGCCCTAGATGGAACCAGACGGAAGTCCCGCTGGATTCGTCGCCTTTCCTGACCCAGCCGACCATCATCGCCCTGGGTGCAGGGGGCGGCATACTCCTGCTCATGATTGTGCTGGTGGCCGTTTGCTGTCGAGTCCACGCTAAGGCCAAGAAAGAGAGGAAACTGGCGGAGACGTTTTCCAACCTGGGCAGCTCCAAAGGTAGCTGGCAAGACTCTTTTTAGAATCTGAATTGCAACAAAATATTTCTTGAGCGCATGCCACCAAACCACAGATTATAAAGAAACGGCAATGAAATTTCGTATGAATTTTTGGCTTCGTACATTTTAACAGCTGGCTGACGTTGTGGAGTTATATGACAATGACAATGACAATCTTTATTCATCTCGCAGGGAGAAATTTTTCTTGGTCGTTAACAATGGCAGTAAACGTTACAAAAGTTAGACGTAAAGGTGCACTCACGCAAACGCACAACAAGACAGGACAGTAGGCCAAGTAAATACATGTCTCACGTGCTGGGACAACCCGCTCCGTAACACTCTCTCTCTCTCTCTCTCTCTCTCTCTGTCTCTCTCCGTCTCTCTCTCCCCTCTCTCTCTCTCTCTCTCTCTCTCTTTCTC